GTATATACACATGCCTAACTCGTGGGCGCTCTGGACAAAACCTATCCACTGTACTGTTACAATGGACTGGATCGCTAGCGCTTCCTTGGGTGCATGTATCACTCTCGTATGTAAAGCTAGAGATATGAAGTGAGACACTGCTTATGGCTTTAAACGCGCAAGTAAGAGCCTCAGCAGTGCTCCGGGAAGCCTTAGACTGGGTGGTCGACTCAACGACTTGTCAAGAGCCTGGTTTGTCCTCCAAGCCTAGGCAGTGGTTGGTCCTAGTAAGACATGTGACCACGCCAGCTGGTGCCAGGATGCCAGTTTGACTAGGTCATTTTCCATGGAAGGGGGACGTAGAACAAAAGATTCCAGCCCAGGGAAAGTCTATTTAAACAGTGGGAAGCTAGGAGCCCCGTATCTCTGGCTGGCGTGACACACCCAAAGAAGAGTCTCTAGCCTGAAGACTGTGGCTAGACAAGGACAGCCTTTAGGGTGCGAGCTTGTCTTCAATAAGCTTTAGTGCAGGCGTGGGGAACCCACGGCCCGGGGCACAGGGGTTACGCTGTGGGCCCATCAGCATGGCAAAGTAGTCCAGGAGAAAGGCACTAGTCGCCATGGAAATAAAGCAGACACCAATGAAGCGAATCATCTGCATTAGGCCGAGAATGGATTTCTTCTTCCTGATGCAGGCGCCTGGAGAGGTGGGGAGAGGGCAAGGAGCCTGACTGGCGTGGGAGGACACAAGAAGCCAGTCATCCAGATACGGGACCATGGCCACTGCAGACACTGGACTGGTACCGCCATGGCCACGAACACCTCTGAAGACCTAGGAGGCTGTTGCGACGCTGAAGGGCTAGCGCTTGGCCCCCATGCACAAGCAAAGAAATGTGCAGTCAAGTGGATGGATGTTGCTATTTCATGTTGAGAGCTGTGAACCCGACTCCCCGAAGGAGGGAAGGAAAGATCCAGGCAAGCGTCACCATCTGGAGGTTGGCCTTGCGCTGATGAAGGGGCTGAGGAGGCAGAGACTAAGGATGGCGCAAAGGCCTCTCTCTTTCGTTGGGAGGAAAACGTAGAACCCCCCTCTGATGAAGGGGTTGGAGACCTGTTCTAACATCCTTGGGGCGCACCATGTTGGAGGGGGATGTGATGGGACTCCCCCCATCCCTGTAGGTGGCCAGGCAAGGGGGGGGCAGGTGTAGCAGGAAGGTGAAAAACTTGGGAGTAACCGTCCCACCGAACCTCCAGCACCCAATGGTTTGTGGTGATCTTACCCCAGCTGTGGGCAACAAGGGAAAAAGGGCAATATGGCCCCCAAATGCCAGAGAGGGCTGAGAGTGGGAACGTGGGAGACTTGCAGCTCTCCACATCAACACTGCGCCCGAGGTGGTGGCTGAGGCAAGGAGGAAGAGGGTTGCTAGGATGGATATCACTTGTGTGTGTGTCCTGACAGCAGGGATAGGAGGCCTGGCATGGTGCACAGAAGGGCTGTCGTCGCTGGGGCATATCCCAAGCGTTGCCCTCGAGTCCTTCAGGATGTAAAGGGACTCGGTCCTAGACTTGTCTCTGTCTGAGGGGAGGTCCTGGCCCTCCTGCCCCGACTGCAGCAAGGTAGCGAGAGAGCAGGACAGGTCCACTGCACAGCCTGCAGCTGCAGCGTCACCTTGGCTGTCACACCACCCTGTGCCAGGGCCTGTGCCATTAGTCCAGCGGCAAGTCATCCAGGAACTCAGCCTGTACGGACGGAGCCAAGTCAGTCTAGTCTGCCAGCGGTGCCTGGTAGCTAGCAAGGCCAGACTCTCAGCACGGCATGTGCCAGACCACGTGCTGCCTCGTAACGACCGCCTCAGGCTGGACCACACACAGGGCCAGGGA